TGTGGGCAAGCTAGGTTTTATGGTCAGTTTTTTAAAAAACTGACTCTCCCATATGGCAATATCTGTACATATTCATCAAGTTAGCAAATAGAAATAAACAGAAGTGTGCAAAGATTTATCTGCAATAATGTTCATTAAACCTCTGTTGTCCTTAAACCTTCAATTCTACTTCTTCCTTCCCCTATCTGAAGCAGACACCCTAACACACCAAACATAATAGAAAGAAGCAATTAAGTGGGAACTTTCCTATTTCCTTGGCAAGAGCCTCTAAAGTAATCTGTATTTGTGTCCACTCTTTGTTCATTTTCTCAGGTTATAACAGATATCTTTTCACTTAGATTACTGATGATGAGGCTTATCCCTCCCATTTTCACAGGGACATCCCTCCACCTGAAGCCTTAGCTTTCACCTGTATCTTTAATTTCTGTCTCCTTTCTCTGGTACTCTTCTTCTTGATACATCTATCCCATTATATAAAAAAAAAAGGACAGAGAATACTCCCTTGGAAATAGCCCTGACAGATATAAAAACTTACATTTGGAGTTACAGTAATTAAAAGTCTGTTATAGGAGAAGAGATAGAATAATCAAAGGAAAGGAAAGGAATAAAGAGTTCAGAAATAGAATACACAAAAGGATTTGGTGTATGCTAAAAATACCATTTCTAATCAGGGAGAAGAAAGGGTTACTCATTAAATGGTCAAAGATAGGGAGAAATTCATTTGGAAAAACGTATACCTTTCTCTTCCTATCAAAATGAATTCCATTTGGTCTATGGTTTTAACAGAAAAAGTCAAAGTATAAAAGATTATGTTACCATGTCCACAGATTATTTGTTTCTCCACTTTTGAGTGTGGATTGCAATTAGTGACTAGCTTCCAACAAGTAGAGTACAAAAGGGAAAAATATTAATTTTACAGTGGAGAAATATAGCAGACCCTTTAACCAAATAATCAAGTTTAACATTACTGGCAATAAGACATGTTGGTATCACACGCTCCCTGATAGGATAAGAAGGGCTTTTTACTTCTGTGGCATATTTCCCCAAAATCTGTATCCTCAGTTTAAACATGAGAAATCATCAGACAAATTCAGATTGAGGGACATTCTACAAAATGCCTGGCTAGTATATATATTGAAAGTAGCAAGGTCATGAGAGACAAGAAAAGATACATGTCATTACACATTTGTCAAATATACATAAAATGTACAATATAGAGAGTGAATTCTAATATAAACCATGGACTTGAACAATGATGTATCAAAACTGGCTCACCAATTGTAACAAATGTACCACACCAATGCCAGATGTTAAAAGGGAATGGGGGAAAGTTACATGGAAACTGTGTTATTTTCTGCTCAACTTTTCTTTAAACCTAAAACTGCCAAAAAATTAAGTTTATTAATTAAAAACAAAACAAACAAATACAAAAGGGCAACATGGAAAAAGACAGTGGTTAAGTGCATAGGTTTTGGAGTCTGTCTACACTGTGTCTGAATTCATTAACAGTAATGAAACCTTCAGCAAGTAATTTTAACTCTCATCCCATCTGGGTGGCTCAGTTGGTTAAGCGACTGCCTTCGGCTCAGGCCGTGATCCTGGAGTCCCGGGATCGAGCCCTGCATCGGGCTCCCAGCTCAGCGGGGAGTCTGCTTCTCCCTCTGACCCTCATGATCTCTCTATCTCATTCTCTCTCTCAAATAAATAAATAAAATATTTAAAAAAAAACAAAAACAAAGGAGACCATCAGTTCTAAAGTCTATGGTCAATTTTGTCTTGGAAATATTATGGTACAGGATCTAGTATAACTCTTACACAAAACAAGTGGCTAATACATATTTGATAACTAGATAGGTATCTTCCTAGTTACATTTTTCATTGTAATTTAGGAACCTGCAAATCTCTGGTGTAATTTCCAAAAACTAACCTGGGTTATAGAGCAATAAAAATAATGAGGCCTTTTCTCGTTTTTTAACTTGTCTCTTATAATGAAGCATGTATCTGCAAATGAACAAGTTTCTAAACATGGACTATAACAAATAATTAGTAAAGATCAACAAAGACTTTTGCATGGATTTGAAATGTAAAATGTAATAAAATTTACATTTTAATGGATATACTGAACAGTTAAGAATTTTCAATTATAATATCACACCTTATCCTTCACGACCTTATGAAAATTGTGGGGCAGCTACAATGCCCATTTACAGTAGATACATATGAATTCAGACGATCCCACCCAACCTCTCAATCCTTCCAACATCAGTCCAGCTCTGAGATCACAACTGGATTTGAAATGATTTGTGAAGTAATGGAAACTGAGCTGTGATGAAAACAAGGTTTTTCTTTCTTTCTTTTTTCTGATTAAATGGAGAGATAGCAGCCTGGCATAGGCTAGTTATTCTTTAGCACCTAATTGCAGAATTAACATATTTTTATATTTTACTCTTTCCAATAATTTTTTAAAGCAAAAATCTGGCATCAGACATCAATAATTAAAGATTATGATGAATACAGGAAGGGAAGAGATTTAGAGTAGCTGAACTCTAAAGGCTTTTAAACACTAAAAAAATCTGTTTTTGATAATCTTATAGTGGCAAGGAAAGTAATTTTCTCTACTTGCAAAGGCATACTAAAAATTATAGTATTGGGAATAATTTTTTAATTATTAGGTAACCTTTCACATATCCTAAGTCTTGAAAAAATGTACATAAGGCACATAAATAAAGATATTATAGGAGAATTCAGTTCTAGAGTTCAAATATAGCATTATCATCATTCAAAAGAATATTTATTAAATAATTTGTACTATTTATTATCAAAAGATATTAAAATCTTTGTCTTATGATGAATTGTAGTTTAGTGTGTAGAAGTTATCATTTGCTGCTGAAAACTGACGATCTGGTATCAGATAAAAGTAATTCTACTGCTTATACAGCTAGTTATTTTCTTGAAAATATTTGGAACTTGGTAGTTTGATTTCCCCCACGGGATAAAAATTAAAAAGTCACAACCTTTACTCCCTTTCTGAAAACAATCTGATATTCCACTTTGGATATTTGAACAATTAGGCACCTTGGCTGAATTTTGGTAGAGAAGGTCAAAAAGTCCATTGAACTCATAACATCACCATATCAAAGTCACACTGCCAACACATTTGTGTCCATCTCTTTGTTGCCAGTAGTGTTAACACTGAGTTATGCAAATGGCAATGATTTAAGTATCCATGGAAAATGGAAATGCTAATTTTGGTGAAATGTAATTAACACTTGGTCCAAGAATGATTTCAGCTAAATTAGGCAATAGGGCAGATAGCATCTGACTACTTTGATATTTCACAAAACATAAAGAGTTATCTACACATTAGTGTAGTAATACATGCACAAGTATCAGGAACTTTAAATAAAATTCTAATTTAACATATGGTGGCCAAATCTGACAAATTTCTACTTTCATGAAATATACATAATAAGAACATCCTTGAATTTGCAATATGTATACTTGTTTATTCTATAACCAAAAATTAAAAAACTAAACCAAAAAAACCAAGCCAAATGTGACAAAATGCAAGGTCCTGTAGTGAATCTTTTTGAATTTTTAAACTTTTAAGTAAAACAAAACAAAGACCATCCGACTGCATTATTATTTTTACTTAAGAGAAAGGGAAGTAATGAGGTATTTTCACAAGTCATTGTGATGGTTCTAGGAGCACCCATAACACGATAAGCCTCTAACGTTAATTTTAGACAATGCAGAAAAACTCCTGGCTCCAAATATAATCTGGTGACTTGGGTAGCGCATATGGATGTTAATCATGCTGTGACAGATCAGACTTCAAATTCTTAAGAATGGACTGGGATGGATGGTTGCAAAGACGAAAGTCAGGGCACAACCAAGAAGAAAAACTGTGCAAATATTATTTTATCCATTTCCAACAATGCAACAGAAAACACCTGAGCTTTGGGATAAGAGTTAGGGCCAGGATTTGGAAGATTCACTTCGGGAGTCCACCGGCGGGCCGTGTTGATAAGTTTCCTCCGCCCGTGACCTTTAGCCTAGTTGTCAATTCTTCCAATTGGGGCAACTCTATGGGGAGAAATCTAGGGTCCACTGCCAGGTGTAGACAGCGTGACTTTTACACGAGTTTAACTTGAGGACGTCAGGAGAGCAGGTGAAGAAAGGTAGGTGTCTAGATCCCCCCAGGTGTAGCCCTGTCCGTTTCGCCCTAACTCCTCGACCTTCCTCCACTTATCCCCGCCCGGAGTTCGCTCTCACCCGGGCAGGACAGCTTGGCTAGCGGCACCAACATATTCACTGGTCCCAGGACTGTCGGTGGGACACAACGGAAGGGCTGTCTGTGGCTCTCCGCGGGTGCTGGACCTCTAGGCCGCGGGGGGCGCCATCACCTGCCGAAAAAGACAAACACCTCCACTGAAGTTTGCCTCCCAGCTCTGCCCAAGGCTTCGGCTTCACGGTGCTCCCGCCTCTTTCTCGCTCTGCGCCGGCGCCGCACATGACGCTACGGCCCGCAGAGACATCCGGGTCACGTTCCGAAAGAGGAAAAGGAAAGGGACTCCAAGTCCCAGCACGATCCCGGCTTCAGGCTGAAGATTGGTTCTCCGTTTGCGTCTCACCAAGGGGTGGTGAGGATGCGGGAGTGCAGGTGAGAGAGACCCACAGATCCCGTGGTATACGCGCGCATCAAAAGTAGTGGGAGGGGGGAGCGACGCATACAGCATTCTGGGAGTTGTAGTCCTCTACTCAAGTGCCTTCTGAGCCTGACTGGAGTTTTGCGCAGGAACGATGAACCGCCCAAGGTGATTGGCTGTCGCGAAAACATGACTAGTATTCGCGGACTTGGGCAGAGACCCACAAGGAGACTGGGCGGGACTTCAGGCGGGAGGAGGCGGGGCTTCTGGGTGTTGGGCGCGAGCAGTTTGAAAGACAGTTGGTGTTGGTTTGGCTGCTAAGGTCCGATTTCGCAGTGCCTGCCCTGCTCAATGGCAGACCCTGAGGAGGTGCGGATTTCTTCGCCCCCGCCGCCTCCTTCCTCTCCCTCGTCTTCAGACGCTTCGTCAGCATCTTCCCCCGGCGTTCCAGTGAGTTTGGGCTGGCCAGTTGCGAGCAGGAGCAGCGGCCGAACGGTGGACCCTCTGGAGGAAGTAGAGCTGCAGATTGGAGACGTGAGTGTCGCTCGACCGGTCTCGGAGCCGCGTCCCCACTCGGCCCTTGTTGGAAGACAGACCGTTGCTGTGTAAGGGAGGGAAGGACCAGGAATCCGCATCTCGCCCTTCTGACCCCTGAGGGTGTGGGCTGGGGGGGTGGGTAGGTAAACCGGAGAGCCGAGGCCCCTTGTCCACCATCCCTGAGGACTCCGCCTTTAGAATTAGTGTTGAGGAGTAAGGGGTTATCCCTCCATCCGCCCCACCCCTCACTGTTTTCTTTTTGTCTCGCCTTCTGGTTTCAATCATCCTCTGTAACCTGAAACCACGCAGCTTTGCTGCGCCGACGCGTGCTGGCGGTGTCTGCCCTCTATTCCTCCTCGTTGTCTGTTGGTGCTTAGGAACAGGCTGTGATTTCTTTTCGTGGGTCTTAAGATCCCGCTGTTCTAGTTGGCCACCTGCCAGAGCCAGCTGGCAATGCTGTGATTGCCTGTCTCAGGCTTGCTTCGCGCTGGACCCATTTGGAGGGGTTTGCTTAAGGCGCTTGTAGTCCAGATTGGTTTCATGAACGGCTAGGTCAAAGGCCCCTCCCTATGACGGCTAGGGTGCATAGTATGGTTTCTGTTGAATCTCGAATTCCACTGCCACACGCACACAGACCCACACACCCACACACACCCACCCAGAGGAGTTTCAGTATATAAGGACTCTTGGGTGAGTCAAGTGAATGAGGTATGTAGGATGTAACCTTCCTGGGAGAAGTTTGTGGAATAGACCCTTCTGTGCAGATTGGACACTGGGTAATGAACTCGATTCTCTCTCATTGCTTAATAAGTATTTTTTTTTAAAAGATAACTAAAGTGCTGATACAGCTTCTGCTTTTGTTGAACAAGACTGGCATCAAGAGAATATGTAGAATGGACTGCTGATAGGTTATCTAGAAACAGTGTTATTTTATATTCTAGGTGAAGAAAACATTTGAGTAAGAAGTGAATTCCACCAAGAGTTGGATATTTTCTGTGTGCTGCTTTTGTTTGTTTTGATTTTGTTGATGTTATTTGTCCCTTCAGAGTATCTGTTCTTTGGTCTATACATTTTCATGGTCTATATAGTGTTCATAGATAAAATTAGTGGGACAATGCCCTTGTTACCTAAATATCAGTGAGTTGTTTATGATGAAATCCTTCAGATACTGGTATCTGGTACTTAGTGTCAAGGGATCCAAGTCCTCTTTTGAGCTAAATGAGTCTAGTGTATTTTCTTTCTTTTTTTTCTATTTAAAGATTTTGTGTTTTTGTGTGTTTTTTTTTTTTTAAGCAATCTCTACACTTGAACTCACAATGCTGAGATCAAAAGTCACTTGCTCTCTATGACTGAGCCAGCCAGGTGCCCCTGGTGTATTTTAAGTAAAAAAAAAAAGTACTGACTTAAAGTTAAAAAAGAAGTCTGGTGATAATGGATATCTTCCCAGCAGATGTATTTCCTCAACACTTACTTCATATTAAATAATTTCTTTGGTTCTCTGAAAAGCTAGTGTTTCAGTTTGAAGATTTTTTTACTTTTATGGAAAATAAGTTGGGCATGGGAGTCAAGGTTTTAAGCTATTTTTAGATTATTTATAAAATGAGATGAAAATCTGAAAGATAAACTTATATTGTTTGACTCTTTTTCTTTTTTTAATTTCAGGCAGCATTTTCACTAACCAAACTTCTTGAAGCCACATCTGCAGTATCAGCTCAAGTAGAAGAGCTTGCCTTCAAATGTACAGAAAATGCACGTTTCCTTAAAACATGGCGGGACCTCTTGAAAGAAGGCTATGATTCTTTGAAGCCTGACAACTGATTTGGCTGTGTAATAATTCATACTTCCTCATTTATGATGTTTGAACATGTACCATAAGTATCAGGTTGTCTCCAGCAGTTCTGTGTATTCAGAATGAAAATTTCTGAGTGGTTTTCTCACTTTTGTGGAAAGCAGAATACCGATGCTCTTTTTGATGCTGGCCAATATTTATCTTTAAATACTTTCTGTCCTCTAAACTTTCATAGACTCTTTCATGAAAGTTAATTTCATCAGTAGATAATGTTAATAATGCTACAGTGTGATCAAACTGAAAGGCTACACTTCCTGGGCCATTGGACTCTCTTTGGCAAATTTGGCAGAAAGTATAATGAAGACTCTTAGGCGGGTGTATCCAATTTCCACCATGGTTAAGGGGTCTCTATGGAATTAAAGTTGATGACTTCCTTAGTGTCCCTTGCATCTTGGGACAGAATGGAATTTCCGATTTTGTGAAGGTGACTCTGACTCCTGAGGAGGAGGCCCTTTGAAGAAGAGTGCAGATACACTTTGGGGGATCCAAAAGGAGCTGCAGTTTTAAAGTTTTCTAATGTACCGCTTCACTGTCTAGACTACAACAGGATTTTAGTTGGAGGTTGTGTATATTGTCCTTATTATCTGATCTGTTACTCAAGTAATACTGAAATGGCCTAAGAAAAAACATCAGTTTCCTAAAGTTCCAAATAGGAATGGTTCACCAAACCCTGCAGCTGTATCCTGATGCTGGATGATACCTGTCTTTGTAGCCCTAAATTGGTTAACGTAAGTTAGCCCCACTGTCTCAGAGGCTCCACTGCCAGTACTGCAGAGCTGCAGGTGCTCTGCACACCGGATGTGTGTTTACTGTGTGTTCTGTCACTTCGGGTTCCTTCCCCCAACACCCAACATGCCTAGTCCATCTTTTCCAGTCAGTCACGTCCTGGGATCCAATGTATAAATTCAGTATTGCATGTATTGTGCATAACTGTCCTAAAGGATCTTATTTTGTGTACCATACATGTCAGAATATAGTGTACATGGCCATATAATGTAAAAAGACAATGCAACCAACTATCTTAAGTGTCATACCAACTAAAATACCAAATAAATTTTGAACAGTGACTCTTTTTTGAAAAAAAAAAAAATGTTACCAATAGGAAAAAGCAGGTAGACCATTATTCTATTTGATTTCCAAGAAGATGCCAAGAATGCCAGAGTTTGAAGTTGAGCTTCATTTTCTGGACCAAGGGAAGTAACTTTAAGGTTACCAGTGTTGGCCCAGCTCCACTAGGCCAAATTCCCTGGAACTAGAGATTGTGTCTTATCTTTGGCACCTAGAACAATGACAGTGTCACACAACAACCAGTAAATGTTTGTTGAATAAAAGAGTTGACAATACAATTAAAAGCTGTCTTTTCTTCCTGTTTTTTAGTGTGAAAATTGTAACTTTTTCTAAAAAGTATTTTAATCAGAACCTCACTGACTTGAAGGAAAACATTCTTTTTATGGGAATTTGAAATTTAACTGATGACAACTTTTTAAAATACATGATAAATACTTTCTATTCTTTTTGATGCTTTTTAAAAAGCTTTTACTTCAGAAAATAAAAGCCTGTCTGGAAAGAATGTATATATATATATGTATATATATATAAATTTTTTTTTTTCTCCCTGTTTATTTCTCAGGTTAATTGCTTTGTGATGTTGTATGTTCAATTGTTCTCTTTAAAGTGCCTTATCAAAATTATGGCTCTGTACTATTACTCTTTGAACTTTGCACATAAAATTCTAAATTCTAAATATAATTATTCTAAAGATACTTTGTTTTTAATGCATCAAATTTAAATGATGTGATTGGTTTCATATTATTTGACTTTAATGACAATGTTCTACTTTACTTGTCCCATATCTCTTTTTGTTGGTTTATGTCATATGTATCAGTGATTAAGCCAACTAATTCTCCATAACTTATAGACATCTTTGATATGGATCTTAATTCTTTTGTAGATATGGAGATGTGTACAGAATTATGTTCTAAAGCTCTACAGTGGGGTTATGAAAGGGGACAAATAGATGGACAAAGAATTGTTTAGTATATTAAGTCATAGTTCTTGATTATTTTTTTAAGTTAAAAATAACACATATGGTGTGTTTATACCAAAGAGATACTTATTTTGCTATTAGAAAAATATTTTTATGTGTCATCAGAAGTGCAATTTTTTAAAATGTACAGAAATAAAAGTGTTCAAAGCAAATTTTATTTCCATTTCTTTGGGTTCATTATTTTAAAACTTTTATTGAAATATTTCAAGCATAAGAGTAAAATATTAGAGGATATATTCCCACCATGCAGATTTAATAAATGTTAGTATTTGGCTATACCTTCTTCAGATCTACATATGTTTGTAAATGTTAGATACATTTGAAACTTTTGTTACCTTTTTGATCCCATCCCTTCTTCTCTCCCAGAGGTAAACCATTGTCCTAGAAGTGGTGTATATTCTAGTTTATGTTCTTACATTTTTAATGCGTATGTATGTTTTCAAAGCACTACAAAATACTGTTTTGTGTATGTGGTAGCAAGCCTCCAGAGGGCCACAATAGTCTGCCTCCTGGTATTCATGCCCTGTATAGTTTCACACATTGAAGAGTGCTGACTTGTGTAACTACTAGGAGATTGAGGAAACGCAGTGTGTGATTTCTGAGGCCATACCTTTGTCCATTTTTCTATTATGTTTTGTCTTTCCCTTATCAATTTGTAGGTATTACATATTTGAATACTAAGTAATGATCTGTTATCTATGTTTCAACTATCTTTTGTAGTTTGTGATTTATCTTTATATTTGTGGAGTTTTGTGAAATAAATGGTTTTAATTTTAATGAAATCTTACCAATTTTTCATAAAAGTGCTTTCTGGGTCTTTTGGAAATGTCATAAAGATACTCTCCTTTACATCTTTCCAAAAGTTAAATTTTTGTTTTTAATGTTTAGGTGTTTAATCCATCTGAATTTTGCTTATGGTGTGATTTTGGGATCTTGTTTATTTTTGTATGTGTATTGGTGTTCCTCCAAGTATCAGTATTTTCAAATGCTACCTCTGTCATTCAATTACCATATAAGTGCTTGGTTCTGAGCTCATTATTCTATTCTGATCTATTTGCTTAACCCTATGCTAAGATTCCCTATAACTTTTGTTATAACTTTATCATAAGTACGATATGTACTACTTTGATTTTTGTGTGTGTGACTTCCTTCCCCAACCATGTATGTATTTTTTATGTTAGAAAAGAAAAACCATGTTAGTTTACTTCTAATTTTGTTGAATTGTGGTCAGCTGAGGTTAACCCCTGATTTTAGGCAGTGAGCTTTCTGTGGACACTAACTTTATTCCTCAGCACTAAAACTCATAGCTGCTAGTGTCGGGAGTCTGGTAGGCCCAGAGTTCAGCTCTGTTTAGTTTCTGTTGCCATGTGTGGCCCACAGAGAAGTTCATCTTATTTTTAAGAGTTGCTTTTTAAAAAAGCATTCCTTTTTATATTTCTTTTTGCTCTGCTTCATGGGAGGGGTTGGGAAGGCTTCAAAACATAAACATTTTCTTAAAGACTTAAATTTTTTTCTTAGTAGCTCATTACCAGCTCTATAGGAACCTCAGAGGAAACCTTAGTATTTTGACTAATGTTATTAAAGCCTTAAGAGGCCAAAGTGAATATGATGAATTTTTTTTTTTAAGATTTTATTTATATATTTATTTGACAGAGCGAGAGAGAGCAAGAGCACAAGCAAGGGGAGCAGCAGAGGGAGAGGGAGAAACAGGCTCTCCGCTGAGCAGAGAGCCCAACAATGGGCTTGATCTCAGGACCCTGGGATCATGACCTGAGCTGAAGGCAGAAGCTTAACCAACTGAGCCACCCAGGTGCCCAATATGATGACATTTTTAATATTAAAAATAATGTTTCAAAACTTCTGAGTATGAAATATGTGTTAGGCACTATGCTAGGAGGTTTATAAGCATTATTTCATATTAGCTTTTTGAGGAAAGTGATATTATTCCTATCTACAGAAACAATAGGAAAAAGCCTGATATGAAATAATTTGCCTATGGGTCCCTTACACCAAAATTAATATGCCTATCTATACCATACCTAGCTACCTAGCTCTTGGTTAGACCTATTAGTATTCAAGCTTACTTTGTGGACTTTCCCCAATCATGATGGTTTATTTTATGTGTCGACAGGGTCGCAGGATAGCCAGATTTTTGGTCAAACATTATGGGTGTTCCTTTGAGGGTATTCTTGGATGAGATTAACATATTGGTAGGTTGAGTATAGCAGATCGCCCCTGGGAATGTGGGTGAGCTTCATTCAATCAGTTGAAGGCCTGAATAGAACAAAAGCCTGCTCCTCCCCTGAGTAATAGCATTCTACCTGATGGCCTTGGAAAGGTGGCTCAGCTTGCCTGATGACCTTTGAACTAGGACATTGGTTTTTCTTACTTCTACAGTAGCTTCTGGCCTTTGGATTCGAACTGGGACATGAGTTCTACAGATTTTGGACTTGCCAGCCTTCATAATCATGTGGGACAATTTCTTATAAATCTCTTTATAAATATATAGATTCGGGGTGCCTGGGTGGCTCAGTCGTTAAGTGTCTGCCTTTGGCTCAGGTCATGATCCCAGGATCCTGGGATCGAGCCCCTCATTGGGCTCCCTGCTCTGAGGGAAGCCTGCTTCTCCCTCTCCCACTCCCCCTGCTTGTCCTCCCTCTCTCGCTGTGTCTCTCTCAGTCAAATAAATAAATAAAATCTTTTATATATATATATAATATAGATTCTGTTTCTTTGGAGAATTCTAACACACTATTTAAAAATGGAACTTACACATTTGTCCAGTCATCCATCATAGAATACTTGTGCTAATAACTGTATTATATTCAATTTTTTTCCCTTAGATTAATTTGAGAGCTCTAAATACTTGAGCAAATTACAACTGGAGGTATAGAAACTTGTTAGAAGGTTATTGCAAATATA